TCATCACAATAACCTAATTCTGGGTTTTTTTCTGTTCTTTGCTGACCACAGTATTTTTTCCGACGCGACATGCATATACTGTATATGCTGGTTTCCCTTTTCAATTCCATTCTAGTTGACGAAAAGTCAGTAAGATCGTAAAATATATATTCAAACTTGTTCGGAAATGCAGAGAAAACACCGTGTTTTATCTCGAAAGCGGGAATTTATTTGTATCAGTTCGTACGTTGCTTTCATTGACCAGCGCATTGAAAGAATATTGAAAGCAATTTTCAAAAATGTCCAATATAAGCATCAGTATTACATACGAGCAAGACTGAATTCGTTCTTGGTTCTTTGGTAACGCTTTTGTCAATAAACAACGAACAAATTACTATAAAACAGCATGAATATAATTTCTGAATATATAAGCTTACTAATATTTAAAAGCGCATTGATATCATATTCGGAATAATTCTCGAAATTTTCAATAGCGATGTATACGAGCAAAAGACTGAAATCGTTCTTGCTTCTTCGCTGATGACGCTTTAGGGGACAGAAACAACGAAGATATTACTGCATAACAGCTTATAAAATACCGGTAGTATAAATTTACTAATCTTGAAAAAAATCTTCGGAGTTAATTTATGAGGGACTACAGAAAATATACTGACGCAAATGTCGAGCATTCCGCTCATTTCTCCAACGGAACTCGTCAATTCTAGCATAGCTGATCGTCTCACGGCTGTGCATTCCTTGATTTGCATGATTACGGATGGCATCTATGATTCAGTAAAGCAAAAAGCAAATAATGCAGTTAGTTTTCCCAAATAGAGGGCAGTAATTTGTGGAATTTTGGCTCACGGATTTTTTGATAAAATCATAATTTTCTTGAACTTTCGAAGACCGCGTTTTGGAGTCGATCGACGCAAGCGTGAGAACGTCAAGCAGCTCATCCAGTTGACGAATTTCCCAGTCGTTGAATGTGACTCCATCTCTTGCCTTGATTGATTTGAGATACAATATTTCGAAAACTAAAAAAAGTCTCCCAATAATCATAGGTAAAGTTTTACATCCACACCATTTGAATGGCTTCGCCGAGGTTCGCCTCGATTTTGTCAGGATAAAGCAATCGTCCCATGGAGGAACATTTTTGCTCCTTCAGATGAGCTCTCAGTTTTCCACTTTCCGAGATCAGTTGTTCAACGTCCTTCGTTATTTCGTTGTATCTCGCCTAGTTGTAGAAATTTTTTAATATTCAAAAATAAAAGATAAAACCATTTTTATGTGAGGGTAGGTACGAAATGGTGGCGGTTTCAGAACCATTCAGCATATACTGTAACTCATGTTTAAGCGACATCTATGATAGAATGACTATAACTCGATTTATTGAGTGAACCTTATTCTTCAGGTGTATGGTTTTGTAGTTTTCTTTTCCTTTTACAGATGTCGCTAGCGTATGGATTTTGAGTGAAATGCTGGAATCGAGCCGTCGAATCGATTCAAGATGACGAGAACTGATGATATAATTGAATTATCTGATTTAATCAGTAAAAATTGCTTAAACCAACCGTCAATAAATTTTTCGTCGCTATCAGCTGGTTTCTTGCGCTGCAAGCGTTCTTCCAAATTAAGGATGGATCCAAGATTGTGTCATCAGCCTTTTGCAACATGCAACTATCTCCTCTAAAATCCGTGTCGAAATCGAAGTAACAGAGAGGAAAGCACCAGTCGTTGAGAATGTGCGTAAGTTCGAGCGTTTATATCAGAATATTTACCCAGGTCCGAAATCATTAGAGAATGCGGTTTTTTCGGGGCCCACGAAATTTTTCACGGTTTCCGCGCATTTTATTTTCCATTCCGGAACTGGGGGTTTTGGTGGTTTCGGAAGTTGGAAGCACAATTCGTCATTAGCGGGCTTGATTTCGATCGGTGGAGGACATGGTTCGGCTTCACGCAATATTTCTTCCACTAAGGATCGCCTTTAAATAACATATATACAGGACAAGGAAGGGATGAAGTCAATTTTCAGCAGCAGTGGCTCGAAACAGGACGATTAAATATCTTTCTTTTTTAAATAGAAAATCAGGTCAAGAGCTATTTTAATGCATCGTAAAACTCATGAGGGGTTCGCTTTCCCTCTTATATAATATATGACAGTAAGTCAATCAGAAAATGTTGCAGATGTCGGGAAGAAAATATAGTTGAACCTCGTTGATGAGTTGAACTTAATTTGACCAGCAAAGAATTCGAATCAGGGAGGTTTCCAATTAAGGCCATATGACACGAACAATTTTTTAGGTGGTTGGTGGAGAAGAGAGAATAATTGAAAGAAATTGTAATTGGTGATATTCTGGGCCTTCTATTACTTCCTGAATGATTTGACAGGAATACTAAACTTGGATGGAAGGGTTCACATTATTTTCCAAAATACAGAATAGTCTTTCACTTTGTTTCAGGACAGATCAAGTCACCTTTCTATTATTGCTCTTCTCTTTGCTGAGTCAATCAAATACTGTAATATCCAAAAAGCCTAAGAAAATTCTAGTTCTGGGTTTTTTTTTTTCAAGAAAAGCAGAGTTAGAGAGATTTCTAATGTTTTGTTTCTAAGGTAATTCAGAGAGGGACTTCAAAAAAATTCTACATATTACAGTTGAACCTCTGTAAATCAAATTTCTAGGGACCAAGAACAAAAATTGACTTAGAGAGGTTTTGATTTTTGGAGGTTTCCATAGTTGAGGAAACTAACACTTTTGTTGTGAGTAGAAGTGAAAAAAGTGTGGGAAATCATAAATGAAGATATTCTGGGCCTAAACTTGCTCCTTAATGAGTTTACACCTTGCTGAACTTGGAGGCAGGAGTTCATTTGCAGTGAGACCCCCACATGCGGACGCCTCAACATGGGGACGATTTGATGTGGGGACATTTATTTAAAAAAAAAATTATAAAAAAGACCTGACATGAGGACAATGACTCGACCTGGGGACATTGCAGGATAAAATTCCAAAGTAAATTTTAGGAAAATTGATTTTTATAAGGCTTAATTGCAAGAAACAGATGTTTCCCATCAAAGTTCTATGCAAGAAAAATTCTATGGTACTTTTCCCATTATTTTTCCATCCATTCAGCTAATTTAAAAAATGCGCTGGTCAATGAAAGCAACGTACGAACTGATACAAATAAATTCCCGCTCTCGAGATAAAACACGGTGTTTTCTCTGCATTTCCGAACAAGTTTGAATATATATTTTACGATCTTACTAACTTTTCGTCAACTAGAATGGAATTGAAAAGGGAAACCAGCATATACAGTATATGCATGTCGCGTCGGAAAAAATACTGTGGTCAGCAAAGAACAGAAAAAAACCCAGAATTAGGTTATTGTGATGACTTTGCGGTGGATGGGTTATTAATGGATTAAATTCCATGTAAATGAGTCAACAATAATGCATGTACTGTATATACTTCTGGGTGAGCAGTTGAGGCAACCCATTCACAATTGGCGAACGCTGAGGAAATCCTTGAAACCCGCAGTTGCAGTCTTCATGAAAGCAATGGCTGACTTCGCCTGTCCGGGAAAAGGAGAACCTCCTGAATATCTTCAAGACTTTTTGGAAGAATGTTCTTTCAGTTATGCTCAGTAAGTTTCCCGTTTATTATCATTTATCAGCATTGACTTTTTGTTTCCTGATCTATCCTTTCGGATATTTTCGTCATTAATCGTTATTTTAGTAAGACACGATTATATAAATCAAGCTCGCTTTTGTTTCGCGCATCATGCAGAGATCCCGACGCTGTGGCAAAATTCATCGAAGATAAAAGCGCGTTTACAGTTGTGCACGACTTCGACATGATCTTTGAATTCCTCACGTCACTGTCCAAAAAAAGCAAAGACGAAGGAATGTTGGCTTTGCAGGTAGCAGACCAAAAAGAAACGTTGCGACCGTGGAGTAAGCTGCTGACGTCATCTAACGAACGAACCGCTCCTGAGAAATGTTCCATGCTTAGGCCGAAACCAAGACCATCAGAGATGTGCTGAGGGAAAGAACTTTCTGTCGTACGCTGTGGTGTTCAATTCATTTTGTTTTGTTTATGTTAACTCGAGTTGCTGACGAATTTTTCTCAATTGTCGGTGATAAATGAAGTTTCAACTTATGTAAAGGAGGGTTCGACAAGGTGCAGCACATGTATTGTGTGCGTATTATTGAGCATGCATTACCCATGGGAGTACTGTATAGTTTCATTTCCGTACAGTGTCATCTGTGTATTGCTGAAAAAACCGTGAATTGTGGTCATCGGAACACTACCTCAAAGGCAGCAGGCGTTTCATCTACTACTGTATTCTACTGTAGGAACATTTACTGCCTGCACTATATGTACAGTATTGTATTGCAGCAATAACTTCAGCCGATAACAATTAATGTACAGTGCGTACAGTATTTAGTTGATATGCATGTTTGATCCGACAATAAGATATTATGAGAAAATACCTTTCACGCCGTGCAACTACCAAATTTACGACTTGCTTGAAAATGCGTCAGAGGTGAGAGAGGAAGTTAAAATAATGTGCAATCTAAAATTTCAATTTTCTTATTGGACAGTACCTGCGCAGCATGTATGATGAAAATGTGAAATGACGTAAACTTGTAGAGCACATATTTTACTTGTGTAACAAAAACATTGACTGCTGCTGATGATTTGTGCTTATTAACCCCCATTTTAGGTGGATCATGCTCAAACTACAGCTAATAGTAGTTCAGGACTCAGTAGATGAGTAGAGTCCTGTACAAATTTACTCTTTATGTACAGGTAAATGACTCTCGTCAACTATTATTTTGCTTACAATTTTCTCTGCATAACTTTTTTCTGTCCCAGCATAGGAATGTCTGCCAATCTAATCGGGGTTCTGAATGACCACATTATTATTTTTTACAAAAGAATTTTCCTGGTCCCATGAAATGTGTGTTTGTAGACCTTCTGCGTCNGAGGTGAGCAGAAGAAGAGGGATGCCAACCTGAAGAATCTGTGTCAATTTTTCAACAGGCACGAAATTAGTCTGGAAATTTTTTTGAAGGAAACAGCTAAAGCAGTGAAACTGAGATACAATTAATACTTTTTTATTGCTGATGCGGCTTTTTTTACATTTTTTGTTTTTTTTCAATTTTTACTTTTTTGTTTCTTTTTTTTTCAAATTTACCTTTTTTCATTTTTACGTTATTTTAATTGTTATTCAATTATACTTGTTAAATTCAAATTTTGTCACTCAGAAATAAGAAAAAAAAATTGTCCAACCATCAGTTTTTTATTTTTGGGGGAAATTGTACATTGGGGATTTTTATTATGGGGGATTTCAACAAAAAGCAGGGAAATTAAAATCAGGGAAAATAACACTCGGGGATTTTAAAAATTGGGCATTTTAATTTCAGGGATTTTTGTGACCGGGGATTTTAAAATCAGGGATTATTATCCTGGGGAAATAGAGGTGGGGGAATTAGAATCGGGGGAATTGTCCTACACCTGGTGGGATTGAACCAGGTACCTCCACAACCGTTTCACTGCACCCTAATTTTTTTCCCATGCCAAGGAAAACCTGCTAAAAGTTGGTGCCACAGACACATGTTACAAGACATCCTTATTAAAGTTCCCCCAGACCCCTATAGGATCCTCAGTTAACACTGCAGACATTAAAAATTATACAATGTAAGTCTATGGGAAAACAAGATTTGACTTGGGGACAATCCGACATAGGGACACTCTTGATGCACCAATTATGTCCGCATCTGGGGGCTCACTTTTGTCTTTAAATTCCTTTCAAGATGCATTACATAATTTAAATCAATTTTTCTTTCATATCTTGAGGAAATAGTCACCAAAAGGCCTCAGAAAATTCAACTTACATAGATCTGGGAGAAAAACACTTTGAGTTATAGAAGTTTTTAATGCATTGTTTCTAAGGGAATTCAGACAGGGACTTCAACTTGCAAAAAATACAACTTAGGGATGCTTGACTTATTGAGGTTCACCTGAAAAGATCAACTTTATGAGGGGTTTGAGTTATCAAGGTTGCCCCTACTTATTTCAAGTGTCTAAATCTTAACTTTAATTAAAAGTGAGCTAAGTTGCATAACATTCGGTATATGCTGCTCATTCACAATCGCAAAAGTTATCACGGGAATGGGTTTCACCAATTATTGTTCCTGGGTTGTTTCTCTTGCTGCAAAAAGGGCCTGATTCCACACGGCCTCGAAACCAGAGTCGCAGGTTTCCGGGATTCCAAAGCCACTCTTTCGTCAGCATGTCTACACGGGCAACGGATCCTCTCGGGACAAACGGGTCCAATAATGGACGTGTTGGGTTCAGTGGCTTTCCTCA